TGATAAAGGAGAGGGGGAAAAAAAAGAAAAGAATGATATCTTCTTCTACCACAAAAAATTATATGGCACTTTAATGCTTTTCCTTAAATCAGACATTAAAACATATTAGAAAACCCAAACTAAAACCCACTGCCGTCAAGTCAATCCTGTATGGGGTTTCCATGGCTGGACATAATTCGAGGAGCAGGTAGCCGCATCTTTCTCCTGCAGGGTAGCTGCGGGTTTGAATTACTACTAACCTGCAGTTGGCATTACTACCTACCCAGAAGCTCCAAGAAGGCTCCCTGTAGTATCTTACAGGTTTTACTTTAAAAATGTTTTAAGTCTGTATCTAAACTAATATGAAATAATAAGTAATATTCTTTGAGTGCTTCATGGAGAAACAAAGTCCTTGTTGCATGATACATTATTCACTTCAAGTGGCAACAATTAATCTATTTATTCATTAGCGAGAAGGAACAAGAAAGAGGCAAGTCTTGACTCTAGTACTCCGTCAACACAAGAACACTTTGTTCTAACAATCCAGCATTCTGTGATGCTCACCTTTCTGACATGATCACTGAAGACAAAAAGGGTGCATAAGCAAATGTGGCAAAGAAAGCTGATGGTGCCCGGCTATCAAAAGATATAGCACCTGGGGTCTTAAAGGCTTGAAGATATACAAGCGGCCATCTAGCTCAGAAGCAACAAAGCCCACATGGAAGAAACACACCAGCCTGTGTGATCATGAGGTGTCGATGGGATCAGGTATCAGGCATCTAAGACCCAGAATAAAATCATACCCAATGTGAAGAGTGGGGTGGGGCATGGAGTGGAGACCCAATGCCTACCTGTAGACAATTGGACATCCCATCACAGAGGGGTCACAGGGAAGAGATGAGCCAGTCAGGGTGCAGTATAGCACCGATGAAATACACAACTTTCCTCTAGTTCTCTGGTGCTTCCTTCCCCTCACTATCATGACCTCAACTCCACCTTACAAATCGGATTAGACCAGAGCATGCACACTGCTACAGATAAGAGCCAGCAACTCAGGAATCCAGGATAGATAAACTCCTCAGGGTCAACAAGGAGAGTAGAAATATCAGGAGGATTAAGGAAGGGTAGGGGGACAAATGGAGAATCGATCACAAGGATCAATCTAGAACCCCCTCCCAGGGGAACAAATAACGGAAAAGTAGGTGAGGGGCGATGGAGGACTATGCAAGATATGAAAGGGGGAAGCAGAGGAAGAAATGAGGAGCTGATATCAGGGGCTCAAGTGGGAAGACAATGCTTTGAAAATGATGATGGCGGTATATGTGCAAATGTGCTTGACACACTGGAATGTATGGATTGTGATAAGAGCTGTAAGAGCCCCCAATAAAAGTATGGGAAAGAAAGAAAGGGGCAAGGCACCCAAAACTGGGAAGATGTTACAAGTATTAGAAAGAACAAGCAAAATAAGGAACTCTGGTTAACTCTTTAAAATACGTATGCTATTTTAATGTTATAAAGAGAGAGTCAGGCGGGGGGAGCAAAAGATGTATAGGAATGCAATGGAAACAGATGAAAATTAAAAAGAGATAATTTAATTAGCTCTTTTAAATGCTATAAGAATAACGTTTATAAGAATATCAACCATCTGTCAGTAGATGAGAATATGATTGGAAGTCACAAGACACACAGGAGCATGTATTTTTATAAAATGGTTTTGGAAGCTATTAAGAGCTAAATAAGGTAAAATGATGGTATTGTTATTTTAACTGCCGTTGGTCAGAAGTTGCTTAAAAACAGAATGCAATTTTGTAATGAATTCTATTTTGTCATTCCTAGTAGTAATTTACATATTTATGACTACAACTTCTCTTGTTAATCACAAAAGACCTTACATAATGATGCAATATTATAGCTAAAATCTAATTTAACAATGGATGGAAATCCCTACAAAATCACGTGCTAAGTATCGATCTGGAGAGGGCATGATTTCAATTATTTCTTGATATCAGTCAATAGAATGAATTGGAAAGACTAAGAAAATTTAGTGTGCTTAACAGCTTTTGAAGAGGCACTCTGGTGTTGGAGTGCTTATGCAAGGTCAGCAGTTCGAAACCACCAGCCTCTCCAAGAGGGAAAGGCAAGGCTTTTCCACCCCACCCCACCCCCACCCCCCGCCCCACCACCCCACCCCCCGTCAGGAGTGAGTCTCGGAAAGCCCCTGCGGCAGTTCCACTGCCCCATAGGCTCACCATGAGTCAGAACCAATCAATGGCAGCAAGCTTAACAACTTTTGAAATACCAAGGATGATTAGAGTCTTTGCTTCCTAAAAAAGTGCAGGAATTTGAAGTGCCAATGTTTCATAATCATGACTAAATCCCTGTTTTAAAAATATATTTATGAGAGAAACTAACATTACCAAGTAACTTCAATGTGCCATATATTAGTCACAAAATATTTTCTTCTGCGCAGTAACTAAATATAATCTACATCTTAAATGTTAAGCCAAAGAGTAAAAACATGTTATAAATCCACATTCAAACAGTAGATAACAATTTCTCACTAGAGACTAACACCAGACGCTGCTGAACTGTGCAAACACTGAAGCACAAGCACTCGAGGCAAAACCACGTCCTCAGTGACTGAGAGAGCAGGACAGCACATAGACGCTCATCAAGCTACAAAGTGAAGCCAATTTAAGATGGATTATAACCTTGACATGAAGTTGAACATCAATCTAAGAAAACAAATATTATTTTAGTGAAAATAAAAGATGCTGAGAGATACTATTCTTTGCATTTCTTTGGGGGGTGGGTGGGTGAGAGTGAAATATATATTCCCTTGACCTTTTTAGGTTTGGGAGCAATAATTAGCACATTCCACAAAGCTCCACTTGAAAAATATCCAGGGGAATGTAGGCATTGATTTTCAGGACTCTGCCAGTAGGTAATCTTCTAGCATTTCCAAGCTAGTTAGACATTCATGCAAACTCATCACCAGGGCATGTAAGACCAATTAGATGGGTCTCCGGCTGGAACCCCACCACGCCCTCCCTGAATCTTCCTCCCCAGCTATACTGGTGCAGATCTCAGAAGAGAATATACTAGGTCCTATCTCCTCACTTTTCTGTTCTACTTCTTTTACCTTAAATCAGGCCTTCCTTAGAAAGAACTTATGGGAAATTCCAATAAATGCTCCAAAATTCTACATAACTATCCCTTCTCTGTGATGGGGCCTGTCACCTCTGTCGGTGACAACACGGCACCATATGATTGGCACTTGGCACCTCATTCCTCCTGTAAACATTCCTCCCCCTCTTTGTCACACCAAGCTCCTTGGCCCCAGTGCTGCACACAACTCAATTAAAACTGATCAGCAACAA